TATTTAATGTGGCACACATGGCTGCATCTAAAACATTTGTTGTCCTATAAGGTGAGCTTAACTTCCAATACAGTGTTCTTGGGGTTCATGAGGGTCTTAAAAGAAAAGCTAGTTTTCCCTCTCTACTCTAAACTCTTCCCTTCCCTCAAATCTTTTCATATTATTCCCTCACCCTACACCAGCCAGCTTCCTCCAGCTAGAGTTAATAGCTGGGATAGCATCCAGCAGGAAAAAAAATGTTAATAAAGGTCCAACAGAGAAAGCAATGAATTTCTTTCCCAAGGCTCAGGTCCCTGGTGCCTTGACCACTTGCTCCGCAAGAGGCTGACTTGGAGCACTTGCCATCTGGCCTGGGGTGAGGCAGGTGTGCTGCTGAAAGGGATGTAACTCAGTCTGGAGACAAGAGTGAGACCCTGCAGGGCTGAGTCCTTCTCAGCCAGTTCCCAGTGAGCTGGCTCCGCTTCCAACCTGCACTTGCAACTCCCATCCATCCAGAGCTAGGGTTGCCTGGGGTTTGGAGCAACTGGTTACTGTTTTGCTTGGTTCTTGCAGGTTGAACCTAGCCTGACGCCAGTGAAGTACTTTTTTTCTTCATCATAGAGGAGTGATTCTAAATGTTTCATTGGAGAAGAAACTTCTCAGTTAGAGATAATGAACATTTATGATCAGTTCTTTAGATTTGTGGTCAATATATTAGATGAATGAAATATATAAAACAGATAAATTATAGAGATGTGTATTATCTAAGCAATATGTCCCTTTCCAGTTCCCAGGCTGAGGAAGTAGACCTCAAGGCCTCCTCTTCCTATCACTTTGTAGAGTTGAATCTGTAGGTTGGGGAATTCCAGGTGTAAATATGAGCCCTGAGCTGGGCCTGGCAGGATGGCAGTCTCCAGTACTGGAGTTTTGAGGCAAATAAGCTTAATCTGAAGCACAAGAACCATTGGAAGTAAAAACGTATGTGGAACTATGTCTACACATTTACTTCCAGCTCAGCATGGTCATGCCAAAGACAGATGGGGATTGCACTGGCTGGTGCTGTGCCACTGAGCTATATCCCAGGCCCAGATGGGGATTACTCTGGATGGGCTTGGTCTAGCTACAGCCTGATTTTATTGCTTGTCTCTGCTAAAGGGTCATAATCTGATGGATTTGTCATTACACCCAAAGAACACTGGACTGGGATTTGGATTATGATGATTAATTAGTTGAAAGACTTTGGGCAAATCTCTGTGTGCATAAATATCTCATCTACAAAAATGAGCATGATAACCCAGTGTGAAAGGGTTGTGTAAAAATACAAGGGTTGTGAAAAGTGTGTGGAAGTAAAATGCATTAAAATACATCAAGAACTTTGAAAGCTAATGTAATAAGTTTCTCTGTGAAGGAGCAGGAATCAAGGGGAAAAATAATGAGCTAGGAGCTCAAAGTCTCGGGTTTTAGTTTGAGCTCTGCCATTTCCTAACTGATCTTGGGGCTTTAGTCTGAGTGAGGCTGTTGCAACAGTGTGTATAATGATTATTGTATCTCAGAAGTGTTCCAAGGCTAAACAATGTGCTGTACGTGGAAAAGGACATTTTCAACTATGAAGTGCTGTATAGATGTTAGTTAATAAAAACAGTGATACATTTGACTTGCTTTTCTTGAGTGATTATCTGGCTTACTCTTCTTTAATTAAAATTTTTATTATTACTTCCTGATAAGTCTTGGGTTTATTGGAATTAGATTCACAATTTTCCCATCCACTCTGTGCACAGGTGAAAAGATGTCTAGTAGTCACCTTTCTGTTGCTGAGAGAAAATACTAAACATCTGCAATTTAAATGAGAAGTTTATTTTGGCTTATGGTTTCAGGAGTTTCAGTCCATGGTCAGCTGGCTCTAAGTGAAAAGCAGCAGGGTGGAAGGGTGTGGTGGAAGAAAGCTGCTCACTTTATGTATCCAGGATGCAGACAGATGCAGGAGGAAAGAGCCAAGCAAGGGATCTACTTTCCAGAGGCACACCCCAGTGACCCACCTCTTCCAAAAAGACCCCATCTTCTAACAAAAATTTAGCTATGAACTACCAATGGCCGAATCCATCAGTGGTTATAACATCACCTGATCCAGTCACCTTCTGAAAGTTCCACCTGTGAATGCAAAAGAGCTAGATCTAAACCATACAGGGCAGGTGGTCCCAGAAGTGCTTGTCACTCCTAGGTGCTCTGTGCTGCTTTGTGGCTGTGACAGCACATTCCAACACTGTCCCTCCATTGCTTGTGTGACTGGAAGCTGGAGGCGAGTTTCCAGAGGGTTGGTTGACACTCAGAGGAGGGTCATATTTGGCATCACTGGCTTGAACTGATTGCTTTAGCAAGAGATACTGGCCACAGCTCCTGGGATGTGTCCACTGTCTGGCCAGACACAACATAGAGAGCCCAGTCTAAAACGTTTGGACAAACCTCAGTTGACTGCACACCTGTTGGCTTCCAGGTGGGAAGGAGACAGTGCTTTGAATCCATGTCATTGCACATTCAGCCTTGGTGCGCTGTGGGGTGCAAGGCACTTCCTCTTTCTTTGATCCTTGTCCACTCTGCCCTGGCTCATCAGAGACCTCCCTGCTGATACCAGCAATGCCCTGGGTGGAAAGCTGAACATGGTGGTTCCTCCTGCTTTTCCTTGTCTCCCAGGTTTGCTGCTGTGGATTTTGAGCTATGCTGAAGTTCAGCTCCAGAATGAGAGCTGTAAATGGGTTACTTTGCTTTCTGATCCGAGAGGCAAAACTGTTGCAACTTTTCATCTCTTTAATCTGCAGTATTCTCACAGAGAGCAGCTCCAGCAGTTTGGGCAAGATATGATAAAACTTGTGAAGCTCTGGGCATTTAAATAAAGATATTCTCAAAAAAAGAAGAAAAATAAAGATATTCTCATTGCAAGACCTCAGATGACTGTTCATACACATGATCATGCTGCTAAATCCATGGGCCATGTGCAAGTAAGAGATATTTAAGAAGACATCAGCAAAAGTAAGTACTCTCCAAAGATAGATGGATATTGCATACAGTGATGTGACTTCAAGCGGGAAAGAAATGAAAGCAGATTGTCTCCTGCTCATGTATTATTGAAGACTGAAATGAAAAATAATAGAAGGATTCTGATTGCATTGGCGTTTGTGCTTACAGTGCGGTCAACTTGAGGTGCAGGCAGAATGAGTTCTGTTTAGAGAGAGGCGATCACCTGCCTCTGGTTCATTTTGTTTGTGATATGATTGGCTCCCTAGTCAACCATGTAAATACTTTGAATAAGAAATTCCAAAAACAAACAAACACACAAACAGACCAAACAAAAATGATGAAAAGAAAGTCAGAAAGCAGGAGCAGAAAATTCACAATTTTATTGAAAACCCGTGCAAGAACACAGATATGCCAGAAAGTTTTACTTTGCCATGCATCTTGAATATTCCTTTCTAATTCATTTGAATGTCATTCCGTGGAGGAAATGTATTTGTGGCTTTCTCTTTAGGGAAGAGTTGGTCCTTGTCCTTCCCCATTCCTACCTTGGTCTGGAAACCTCCTTAAGAGCTTCTCATACACGGGGACAATGGGCCGACTACCACAGGTGTCAGCTGCAGCGACATGGGGGCTGAGTCAGGGGCACCGAGGGGCTGAAGGGAAGAAGTGACTCCACCTGTCCTCGGAGTAGGGAACAGGAGTGGCAAAGGATTTGGCCCTTGGAAGGCCTTTGTGGACCAGTTTTTTATCTTCTTGCCCTGACCAATTCCTCCTCACGACAGGCTATGAATCAGATAAGAGCTGGTGTCCAGGGAGCAGTGACTCAAGGGACCTTCTGCTCTGCTAACGAGAGACAGAGGCAGGGAAAGTTGGTGAGGATGGGGGGCTTATCCTGAAGCCATCTTGTTCTTCACAGTTCTTCCTGTGAAAGAGGGGAGCGTAGAGCATTGTTCCCTTCTCTCAGGGCACCTTAGAGTGGAGGTAGAGGGCAGAGCCTCAGGCCTGCTGCTGGCAGATGACACAGGTGCATAGTGTGCACAGCCTTTGGCTCCTCCAGGGCAGAGGCTCCTGTGCAGAGAAGCATGGTGCTAAGTTTCAGCATCAAATGTAGCCTTGTCAGGAAAGAGGGCATCACCAAGAGGGGAATAGAGAGCAGGAGAGAGGAAGGAGCCCACCGTACATAGCACTCACCATGACAAGTGTAAAGGAAGGACAGTGCTGGTAGTCGACTTGGTCCCCAGAGGATGAAGGAGTGGTTAGGAAGGGGCGTCTTAGGGTGAGACTCCTCCCCTGTGATTGTTACTCTCCTTAGCACATCATCACCATTCTTTGAATAAGTAACTCTCTGTGTGATAAATACAACATACGATTGAAAAATATGGTGGGCATGTAAATTAAAACGTTTGTTACAGTAAAAGACACATTGCCATTTACGCCTTTCAAAATACCCCTCGACTCGTACCTTGAGCACACTTATCCCACCATCCTTGCCTCTTTCTGAAGGCAAGAAGCCTTCTTTCTGGAAGCCTTCTTTCCAAGTGCCTTTAGTTATGCCATTGTGGCTGTGTTGATGTCCTGGATTGATTCAAAATAATGACTTTTTGTGACCATTTTGACTTTGGTGAAGAGGAGGGAGTTCCACAGTGCCAGACCTGGTGAATAGGTGGATGAGGACACAACATCGTGTTTTTAGGAGCCTGTCTTTCTATTGGATGGTACTGGGCAGGAGCATTCAGTGTAATTTTTATCACAACCCGTAAAGATACTCAGGAAAGAGAACTTTCAGACCTGCTTCGGACAGTGGCAAGAATAATGAGGTGAATGTCTTCAAAGTGAGGTGGGGAATTTTGAGGGGGATTCATGGTGCTGTGTCTTTTACTGTAATGAATTAAACAAAATGTAAACATCCTCTTTGTATTTGGATCATACCTCCTACAGTCCTAAGTGTTATTTACTGAACATATTATTTTTCTTTTGTTAAATGTAGAAATGGAGGCAGATAGTGTGGCAGTCCAAGATTAATATCTCTTTTTTGTTTCATTTAGAGTTTGAACTTCCAGCCACCTGCTGGCCACCTGGGCTTTAGCTACCTCTGCATCATCTTAATTGAAAGGAAAGAACCTTGAAACATTCATTGTTACTGGTATGGGGTTTCCCCAAATTGTTACCATTATATTTTATGGTAAGAGTACTGATTCTGAGTCACATTGGGTGGAAGCCACAACCCATGGATGAGTTAGGCATGTCCTGGGACCACCTTGAGACTAGGTGGTGCTTACAGGACCTACTTGTGTGTCTGACTTACTGCCAGTGAGGACCTGAGAGACAGGGGTGATGGGAAACCTTGTGTTCCAAGTTTCTAACTCCTGCCTCAGAATTCTAATAAAAACAAGAGTCTGAGTCTCCCCAGAGCCAGCTGATGCTTGTCTTGCTGCAACTCTTGAGCCAATACACGTAAAATTACATGGTTCCTATCTTAACTTTTTCATTTGGACAGATGTCTGTGTTCAGTCTTCCTTTAGCAGGACTAATTTTTTCTCCCAGAAAGATCTCAGTATTAGAATGTGCCAGGCCCCCTGCATGCATTTGTGAGTCTCACCACTCTAATAGCTGTGGTTTGAGGTTCTGTCACTGTGTGTGTACATTTAGAAATGTTCTATCTCCCGGGTGCACTGTTCCTTTCATCAAAATATAGCAACTATCTTTATCTTTTAAACCTTGTCTGAAACTCTACTTGTTGTGATATTAGTATAACTATACCAGTTTCATTTTGATTTGTATTTTCCAAGCGTATCTTTCTTCAGTTTTTTTGGGTCAACACTTCTTTGTTCTGATGTTTTAAATGTGTCTACAGACCAGACATGATGGCTCATGCTTATAATCCCAGCACTCCGGGAGGATGAGGCAGGGGATCATGAATTCAAGTCCTGCTTGGGCAACTTTGTGAGAACCTGTTTCAGAATAAAAAGTAAAATTTTAAAAAGGGCTGGGGAAGTAGCTCAGTGCTCAGGCCCCGCATTCAATCCCTAGCACCATTCAACCACAACAGCAGCAGCAACAACAACACAAGCGTGTCTACAATGTTCTAAAAAGAGTAAAGGACAACTTTGCTCTTTGAATCCAACCTAGCAACAAGCTCAGTCCATTAATGACTGACAGATTTTGATTTTTTAAAATCATTCTTGCTTTCTCTTTTTCCTACCTTTTTTCCTTGTCGTCTATTGCATTGATTGACTTTTCTTGATTACCTCTGCCAATTTAGAAGTTATACATTCTAGTCCTATTCTTTTTAATAGTGTCTTTAAAAACATGTAACACACATTTATGTGATAAGAGCTGAAGCTGAGGAGTATGTTCTCATTTCTCACAAATGTTACATCAGCCTTATACATTTAGAGCCTTATCATAAGTCAGCATTGTCTGGTATTTCAATCTCTTCTTTTTCTTCTTCCTCCTCCTCCTCCTCCTGCTTTTTTTCCTTTTCTTTCTCCTTCTTTTCCTTCTTCCTCTTCTTTCCTTCTCCCTCTTCTTCTTTCCTTCTCCTCATCTTCCTCTTCTTTCTCCTTCCCCGCCTCCTTTTCCTATTACTGTACTAATGAAATTTCTGCAGAGAAGCACATTCAAGAGTGTGTGTGTGTGTGTGTGTGTGTGTGTGTGTGTGTGTGTGTGTATGTTTCTGGAATTGGCTCAGAGCTGTGGAGGCTGAAGTCTGGAAACTGTAGGGTGGAGACCCAGCGAAGAGCTGCAGTTTGATCAAGGTGGCCTGCTGCAGAAGACCATCTGCTTTGGGGGCAGCCAGTTATTTACCTGAGGCTTCCATTGGCTGCAGTTTGGATCTTGAATGTCCCCAAAAACCTACATGTCTTTGTGGCTTGGCTGCTGGGGCCCAGTTCTATTGGGAGGTGCTGGGCTCTTTGGGAGGCAGGGCCTGGAGGAAGAAGGGGGTCCCAGGGAACATGCCCTTGAAGGGGGGCACTCGCCCTCTTCTTCTCTCCCTTTTGTTCCGGCCTCCATGGGGTGGGCAGCTTTGTATCAGTTAGGCATCACCCGAGGAACAGACGGAATATGAGAAGTGTATGTGGCCTGAGCACTGACAAGGTAGGCTCACAGTGGCCTCCTACAGTCAGGGCTGGAAGAATGCGGAAGGGCTGTCTGCCCACTGGAGAGCCTGGATCCAGTCAAAAGCCCAAGGCCTGCAGCCCGCTGCAGAGCCCATGGGAGTCCATATTGGAAAGCTGAAGCATCCATGTAAGAAGGCTGAAGGAAATGGAGACAGACATTCAATAAGTATGGTGGAGAGTGGGGCTTCTCTGAAGAAACAGAAGTGAGATTTCCTTCCTTTGTCTTTTTAGTCCATCCAGGGCATAAGCCCACTGTTTGGTGCCACCAGCACCCAGGTAGGACTTCTCTCTTTAGTAAGTCCATCATCCAGAACTGGGCTACACCAATCTGCTAGGCATTTCCTACTCGACCTGCATCTTTGGCAGCACTCCTGCGATGTTTGTTGCCTGTCTGTGAGCCCACAGGCAAAGAGCCATGTACTGAAATCTGTGAAACCGTCAGCTAAAACAAACCTTTTCTTCTAGGTTGATGATTGCAGGTATTTTGCTAGTGTACCGCAAAACTGACTAACACAAACTGATTGGATGAGGCCTACTCACATTGCAAAAGGTGATGTGCTTAATGCAAATGTTATCCCTAAACACCTTAATAGACATCTGTGAAGTTTGACCACAAATATCTGGGTACTGGGGCCCCAGTAATTTAACACATAAAGGTAATCATCATGATTGCCCATACTAGTTATTATTGTTTATTGTCATTTTAAATGAGGACTTAAGTTTACTTACAAGTTTATAATTTTTCTTGTATCTAATTCAATCTTTTTTCTCTAGATTCAAAGTTCTTAGAGAAAGTAACTATCAATCTCATAATTTTATTCCCTATTGAGAGAGCTAAAGGTTTATTTCAAAATAAAATGATTCAAAAGTGATTCTAAGTCTTTCAATAAAAGAAATTTGATGTTACTGTTATTTTCTCTCTTCCTTTTTTCCCTTTTTCCTATTTTTCTTTGTTTTTGGTAGGTAATCCATTTTTTCCCTCTTTAATTCCTTTAAAATCACTTTGCCTCTGGCTTCTCCATATGAATATATTCTACAACTTCACTATCATGAATCTAGATGTGGACATGCTATTTATCATACTTTGAGCTCATCATGCTGTTTTATCCAAGGAGTATGCTTTTGATCAATTCTGAAAAATTCTGCAAAATATTCAGATGTTATTTAAAATAGTGTCTATTAAGTCTCTGTCTAGGATTCACATTACTGGACTTTTACATTTTTTTCTGCATGATTCTTAACCTCTTTTCATATTTTCTTTCTCTTTATTGCTCTATGAAATCTGAGATTATTTCCTCATATCTATTTTTAGTACACTAATTCTTTGAGTATGATTAATTTGCAGTTTGAATTTTTTGAGGTTTTAATTTCAATGCCTTCATTTTTAATTTACAGAAGTTCATTTTTTTCTTTCCAATGTGCTTATTCTTTTAAGATATTGCTATATCATTGTTTTGGCTTATAATTTCTCTTTCATGGCTTTGTTATTTTACTCACCTTAATTTCATAGTTTCTTTCTAATAATTTTATGATCAGAGTTCTTGGAGTTAAAAGAATCATTGTTCTTCATTCTGTTATCTGCAGTTGGTTCTAAGTTGTTTCCTTAGATATGTTATAATTTTGGGTTATAAGAAATCCTGAGCAGGACTTGGCTTGTAGATTTGCCTGGCCTGGGTTGGAATTATTCCCCTGAGAAGGGGCTCTGTCTCTGTTTAGCCCAGGCACTAGTTACAAAAGCACATTTCTTGTGGGTTTATTTATATATTATTCTCATCTGGGGGCCTATGGGTCCAGCAAAAAGTATAAGTTTGAACCCAAACCAGTGTGTAGTGTCTAAGATTACACATTTTGGGGGGCCAACATTTTATCTTACCTCATCCCAGGCCCAAATGCAAGCATAGGCATATTCACTTATTGTTTGTTTAGGCTGGTAGAAGAATTTTTTTTTTCAATGAATTTTAGAATCTTCTCTCTTTAGGTGAAAGTCTTAATTCTACTTCCTTCCCTGTCCCTAAGTGGACAGTAGATCTTAAATCTCTTCAGATTCCTGGGGCTGGTAAATCAGTCCAAGAATCACTGATTTAGTTTCTATTTTCTTCTTCACTTTTGTCTGCTACGGATTTCCTTGACCTTTGTGTGAAATTAAGTACATATTTAAATTTTTTAAGTGTTTGTGGTGGTTTAGTTACAGGATATTGCTAGAAACAGCATAATGGATTATCTTGTAAAACTACTACTGTAATGTTCCATTGGCCAACAGAACAGGGTTTGTCCCTGTATTTCAAGCTCTCTTAGTATCTTCGAGGTCCTTTTTTAGGGTTCTTTTCCTATGTCTACTCTTCATTCAAAGATGTCTGTCTGTTTGTCTCTCTTTGCCTCAGCCTCTCATTTCTCAGTCTTTTAAATAACTTATTCTCTATAGTACCCGGCTGGCTTTCTTTCTCATCTTGTCAAGGCCATTTATGTTTTTCACCGAACAAATTAATACAGGGCTCCCAGTGAGGGATCAGAATCTCGCTGTGTTAAATTTCTCCCATTGCAACACTTTTTCTACTCTCTCTTTTTCTATGATCCCTAAAGGCAAGTTAAGTGTAATCCCTAATGATATTCCACCTCAAGTTCTAGGAGACAGTGACTGTGACCAACTCAGTCGAGATCGATGAGCGACACGTTTGGGTGCAAGGAAAATGCTTTCGACATGAATAGAGTGTTCCCCGGCAAGACAAAACCCTAAAGGCCCAGATACTTTAGGAATCAAAGCTTAGGTTAGTTATTAGAAAACATATTTCTTTGTGTTCCACTCTTTACTTTTGAGTAATAAGTTGCTTCTTTGGGGATCATGCTGTTCAGAACCTGAGCAAGTACAGAAGCCACTGGGGAAATTAGAGAATTCATGGAGTTTTGGCAGAGCATGTAGTTCTGTTGCAATCTCTACTTTGAATATGTTAAATCTCAGGAAACTACTTTGAGTATGCTGAGCTCTTCTGCTATCTGCCAAGAGAAGTTTCACAAGCAGAGCAGATGCATATCTACTAATTTATAGCACAGAGGTAAAAAAGCTCAAGGATTGTTATGTCTAAAGTTCATGTTTTAAATTTGAGAGATATGTTATCTATTCCTATAAAAAAGGAGCATAGTTTATACAACCAAGCTCTAATTCTATTCTCTTCCTCCATTTCTGCATGAATTTTCTGGTCCTTTCTTCCTGTATTAGGTGACCGGAAACTGTTCAAAATACTTCTGGAATTCTACATTTGTAAACTTCTGCATTTGCTCTCTATAT